ACTTGCCGAGCAGCCATGACGTATCCCTGGCCGTATTCACTACCACCACATCTACAGCAGCATCCGCAACAGCATCCACTTCACGCGACACAGCCAATACAATCCCATGTCCACACACATCCCACACTGCCACCTCAACCTCAACCTCATCAACCACATCAACCACATCCACCGCATACGACAAACCAATCACCACCCACACCATTACTACAACCACCACCTCCAACAACTGCTCCACCACATGCCACCAATCCAGCAGTGACCGCCATACCACAGCCTACCACACCGGCTCCACCACCACCACCACCACCACCACCACCACACACTCCAGCAGCCCCGCAGCACATTGCCATTTCCGCTTCAGCTCACCATACGCCACCACAACCACTACCGCAACCACAAGTGCCACAACTCACACCTCAGCCAACTGCACCACCAACTGCACCTCAGCGGGGAGTCACAGACTACACCTTTCAGGCTTACAGTCACGCCACCACACTTTACGAAGATACACGTTCCCACAGCACCCAGCACCAGCCACAGCACAGCAGTTGATGCAGCTCTATGTGACAAAAAAAGGTCATTCCAAAGAACATTGCGCCGCGGCGCTGCGGCCATTGAACTGTCCCTGAAGAATCCTGATCTCCCTTCATTCTGTTCCTTCCGATCAAGATCATCTTTACTCCGCAGGCATCTCAGGCCGTCATTCTGTTCCCAAACCGCCCCACACCGCCCCGCCGTCGCGCGACCCATGCGCCTCAGCGCGGGGGGTCCGGCCGCGCGACCCTCGCCATGGCTCGGACGCGGCTGACGCGGCGCCGCTCGCCCTCCTGGGAGTCGCCGCCGCGGCGGCGTGTGGAGCACCGCGGGGCTCGCGACTCGCGGTCGCCGCCCGTGCGGCACCGGCGGCGGAGGCGGCGCCTTCGAAGGGACTATGACTCGAGGGCTGCGAGCTATGATTCCTTTGGATCGCAGGTGAGGAAGGGCTGGGAAGGCCATTTGATGATGGTTCCACTTAGAGCTTTGCTTTGTAAATTATGTGTTCTCCCGTGTTTTTGGTTGGGGTTTATCTTGCTTGCTGTTCAGCTACAATAAATGTTGTTTAGTACATACACACATGTTTGCCATAGTGGGCTGCGGTCATGTTTTGTTGGCATTCATTCCAGCATATTCCGCAGAATGATCATGGCTAAGTTAAAGACCTAAAATGGTTTTGGTCAGTTGGATCATGTTAGATCTCTAAATATACAATAATATACAGATCTAAATTAGATCCATTTCAATTAGAGCTTTTAGCAGCACCCAATGCCCACCGAAAATGCCCATCCGCGCGGTCAGGCCGACTTCGACAGTCGCTCCCGTTCGCCGCGTGGTCGTGGTGGAGTAAATGCGATCCCTCTTGGCCGGTATGAACCACCGGAGACGGAGGCGAGGCTGAGCGACGAGGGAGTTGCTTTCTTTTAACCAAAAAGGAGAGATGCAACAAGTTACGTTGGCAAATGTAGACTGATCAAACAACTATAGCTGTAGGCACGAACTCCATCATGTTCAAAGAAGTTCAAGCTAAGAAACAGTTGGGGAATCAACAACTGACTGTTATCAACAACTGACTGCAGAATCAACCAACAGAATAACAGGGGCGACCCTTCCAACACCAACCCACCGGCCAGTGCCCGGCCACCCCGAGGCCCGCGTTTGGATCCTGCACAGTGATGCGGCAAAGGTCATCGGACGGAGCGGCCGGGCGTTGAGGGAGATCGAGAACAGGACAGGTCGGACGGGTCCTGAGGAGCTAAGAGCGCCAATTTGGCATGGTGGGAGTGTGTGGATGGCTTTGGAAGGATGGTTTTTAAGCAGAAGATGGTTCGAAAGGTTCAAAGGATGCTTGTAAGTCTTGGCACAGTGGGGACATGTGGATATCAATGGAGACATTGATGTGAGTTTCCAATGGGTATCCCTGGACGTGATTGCCATGATGGGTTCTACCCCTGAATTAACATGATTTGTGGGCTGGCATGTCTCGTCACCTGTCTCGAATAAGAAACATTATCATGAAACAACTATTGAAAAGGCCATCTTCGAATCAGAAGATTGTTCTTCTGGGAAAATGTTGCATTCTTTTCTCAGCTTCCAAACCAGCATGGTGCCAAGTTTTCCGGTTCCTCGTGTGTATCACAGAGATGTCACCGAAAAGTAGGTGGCTCCAACCTTGAAAAAACTCCCAAACCCAGAAGTGGGAACTTGGGACCCCCCACGCAAAACCAACAGGTGTTCTTTGTTCCCCTGAACCCTCTATTGTTCCAAACGAACGGCTCGTCCCGTCCGGTCACCTGCTGGAACGGCTCCGGGAAAGGCCGAGGGGGCCTCTCTGAACGCGGCGTGAGGACGAGTACTCGGATCCAAGTCTCCAAAGAGGAAGACATGGATGCTGTGCCTTGGAGTACAGTCGTACGGTGTACGGTGTAGTCAGTTGTGTATAACATATAGCGTAGTCAGTAGTCCAATCAGTGATCGTGGTTTCCTTTGCATTGCTGGAAGTCGAAGTGTCCATTGATGTCCATTGATGTCCAAGGAAGAACACTGGCTCCCTGAACAGTTGTTAGAATAGTTGCCATTGTACAGACTGTTGCTACTCCTCCACGTGTCTCTCGATCCTGCAAAGTTCCAAATTGAATGGAACCATACCTGGGCCTCCTAAGGGAGGATGTCTAATGATAGCTCCTTAGAGGTTAAGGGGTGTCCATGAACCACCCCAAACCGAGGGCCCTGGCATGGAACCTTATGTATCATTGTTTTTCGTTTCTCTCCCTTTTGATACCAATGATACATGACACATCCAATTATATGATTACACATCCTGGATGACACCACTATATGTGGATTCCATGGATGTTCTTCCAGCGGATGTTCTTCACCTCAGGAGACGAAGGAGCGATCCGTGGACATCGTGGGGCGCCGCGAGGACCAGGATGCCGCGCTGGATCTGATCTGCGAGAAGGTCCTCTACTGCCGTCGGGAGCCGGAGGGAAGTGGGGGAACCATCGGCGTTACGTGGCGCGGCGTTCGTTTCTTTTTTTAACGGAAGATGCTTGCTTCGATCTAGCGTTTGGTTGCTTGGTGAAGTTGAAATGGAAGATCCGGATGGAAGATGGACCCTTCTGGACACTGTTGCTCATGTGTCATTGAAGACGAACCTGGTGGAACCTGGGCTGAAGTGTGGTGGACATCACGTGGTGGAACGGCAAGTAAGCGAATCAGCAATTATTCTATATGCTTCTTTCTACTGAAGACATCGGCTATATACAACTTGACCCTTGACATTTGTTTCGTGTGGGATTAGTTTTCTGAGAAAGAATCTATAGGGCTCCCGTAACCTAACAACAAGCCCCTGCCGGAGGTGATTCGGGGTCTCCATGAATCCCATGCCGGGGGCGTCCGTTGCACATCGATTTGAGGTCAAGACGGAGGGGACGTGATCAAAGACGTCCGAGGTTCGAACCAGGAGAACGGGTTACGCGGGGCTCTCCCGTCCGACGGCGCGGTTCCGAGGTGAAGGCCGGTTCCGGGCCGGCAACGGTGGAGTCCTTAGCACCATGAATTGATGATGAGTCTTAGAGTCTTAGATGTGTACCACAAATGCGTGTGTTTTGTCTTTTGTATACTTTTGTTCTACAATTTATGAAGTGGGTAGTCAAGTTGTTCGAAGATTGGAGAAGATCGGGAGTTGTTCGAAGAGCCTTTGATCCCGAACCGCGGGCCGAGTCTCGGGATCCTCCAAGCACGAAGTGTTCCTCAACCCCTCAAACCGCGAAATCGAATCTGGAACAGGCCGGCAGGCCCCATGGCTCTTCCATGTTTCTCTACAAACAGGTGGGGCATGTTCCATGTGTTTTATCCATGGACTCATGACTCGGAGAGTAGAAAACCACAATCATATGGATTCTTTGTGTATGATCTGAATCTGAACCTCCCATGTCTCCAGGAGTCCAAAGGCGATCTGCAGCGTGTGATTACCGTTCTGCCGGAGGACGCTCGAGTCCATCAGTGGACGCCCCGTCTGTCGTGGCTGTCGACGGGGCGTTCACGTGGGCGTTCTCTTCGGGGTCTCGCAGCGTCGTTG